TAGAGTGGAACTTGTCTTTACAATCAGTTAAAGAAACTTCCCTCTTGGACACCGCTTCTTAAAGTAATTAGATAGCCGTATCGCTGTTACTTATAGTGTACTAAAAAGGCTACGCTATCTGTAACAATAGTATTAATAGAAAACATAATACAGGAGTATTTAGTAAATTTTTAAAATCATATGGTATTACAGCCAAAAGATTAAGAAAAATTGGTGGTAAACATACTTCTAGAGTTCATGGTAGTTAAAATCTAACTTCACAACATCTCGAATTCCTTAGCAGAGTTGCAATGAGGCATAAGATGAATCATCATAATTTTGAAATGTATTATGCTGAGAGTGATACTTCCAATTCTGACTTTGACACTCCAGAACCTGAATCTGAAACTCTAGCTTCTACACCCAAGGCAATTAATGAGAATACTTCTGAAATTAAGGATATCTATGACTTATATAGGAGTATTTAGATTAGTTTATAACTTATTTATTCATTTACTATAACTTAGCTTTACCACTTTGGATCTGCTTTACAATAATTAGACTTATTAGATATTTTTTAAGTAAAGTTATATATGCAAACCAAGTCTATAGAATTACCTCATTTATATTCAGAAAAATAAGAGCTGATCATACTTCTAGAGTACATGGAGGTAGGAATGATTCCTGCTATTAATATTTATGACAATTGGCATGTAGGCATAAAATAGGTCATGCTTCATCAGTTGAGCATTATAGTGTAATGAATGATAGGTCAGTTATTCCAGTACATAAGAAAAAAAATACTAAGATATCAGATATTATAGACCTATATAATTACTAATCATGCTTCTTGGTTTTTACTATATTCACAGTAAAATCTTTATCATTGTTGCTGAGGATATTTACTTCATAGCTGAATGATTCAGATCAGACCCAGATACGGTATCATTAAAAAATCTCTTTTTTCTTTTAGCCTTGTATAGTGTACGATTTATTCGAGAAATATCTGGGTTTGCTATTGAGTTTATAATATCCTGCTAAATCTCAGGTTTCACTATTTCAGTAATTGGTAAAGACAGATTCAGATTTTTTTATCTAATACTTGTTTAGTATTATGGAATACAGTTTTATCAGCTTAAGTTATTATAAATATTAAATTATTTATTAATGCTAATTTAAAAATATACCAAATTAATTATCTGAAGATTAGCTGTTTTTTCGATTAAAGATAAATAATATATATTCTTGAGAATGGTGCAACTAAATATTTTTGATTTACCAGAATTGCTAGAACAGATCTTATATTTTCTAGAAATCTATTAATCCCTCTATTTCACTTTATTTGTTAACCATCTTTGGTACCACTGCGGTGCTCCTATTCTATAGCAATGCATTGAGTTTTTCAACAAAGATTATCAGCAAAGCCAGCATGCTCTAAACATGTCTTGGGTTCTTATTCAGTGATTGATAAACTTTGAAAGAGTTATGCGTAGAAAAATAAAGCCAACTTATTGTGCCAAGATAGTATATCTCAGATTGGAAGGTTTAAAAATCTCAGATGCATTGATTAGTGTAATTCTACATTCATGTCCAGATATACGCTTTCTTATTCTTGATAAAAGTAAAGGTTTCACTAATATACCAATTATAGAAATTGCAAGATTTTCTCCAAAACTATAGCATCTGAGTCTTAATTTATGTATATGTTTCACTAATTGATATATTACTGAAATTACCCACTCATGCTCAAAACTTAGATATCTTGAGCTTGGTGATTGCTCAATTAGTAATGAAGCTATTGAGAAGATAACCAGCAACTATACTAATTTGAAATATCTTAGTTTGAAAAGGTGTAGAAGGATTAGTAATAAAGTGCTGAAAAAACTCAATCCAAAAATTAAAATCGAATGTCCAGATTATTCTGATGATGAATTCTCTGATTCTGATTTACCTTCACTTATTCCAATTTTTACTAGTAGACAAAATAGAATAGCTATAACTAGGTCCTTTAGAGACTACTATTTGAGTTATACATCAGATGAAACAGATCTTATTTCTGCAATTGTTAATTATCTCAGAGAGAATTCTCCAACGCAAGTTATAAATAATTATATTTATTACTGAAGAATGGGTAATTATTTACTGAGTTATTTTTTCGCAGTAATATAAATTATTAAATATACTTAATATGTTCATAAATATACTCGTAGAGAGGAAAATTCCAGTAAAAGCATTAATTGGTACATCGTCAAAGTTTAATACCATTAACAAGAGCTTGTTCGATAAGCTTAAAAAGATTATGGAATACATGATCCTGTTGAGAATCTCTATGGGGATGTAATAGGTGAAATAAAATGTTTAAATTTGCAATTTTGCTATAAAGGAAAGTGGCAAAGTTTAGATGGTACTGAAGTAATAGACTTTCAAATTCAGAAAATCTATCGTTCGATTTGGTTCTGAGACAAGAATAGTTATAGATGCATGAAGCAAAAATAAGCTTTGGATATTCTCCCAAAACCTATATCTGCCATGCTAAAATTGTAATCGATGGTATGAGTATTCCATTAATTGAAGAAAATAGTAATAAAACTAGCTCTAGTAAAAATAACTTATCTCATTCTGAAACAAAAATCAATAAACCTGATCTAAATTTAGAAAAGTTTATAGATATGTTTAAGAAATTATCTATAGAGACTAATTTATCTAGTTCTGATTCAGAATCCATGGGTTCAGACTGGTATGATCTTGATCTAAAAAAACCCTGAAAGAAACACATCCATATTACAAAGAAAAAGGTTATCTCTCCTAGACAAAAACATTGTAGAAATAAGCCAATTAGAACTAAGTAATCTTTAATCCAGAAAATTATTATGAGTGGAATCAACATAGAAGTATTTCAGAGAAATGACATATTACTGCACTACATTACTGCATCCTGGTGACATGGTGTCCTGCCTCGGCAACTAGAAAAAATAAACACTGCATCGCATTACTGCACAAAGTGAACTGATCATTGAATAAATATTTAAATCTGCCCCACATCAGGCTTAGTGACATGTGTTTGTTAGAATTATTTCGCATACGTATAAAATTTATCTGTATTACCTTGCAAGGCTTATTGTTATGCATAACTTATTTGTGAGATGGATCACAAGTAGAAATTGCCATTTTTCATTTTTCTGGAATTACGTAGTACTTAAACCAAAGTCGGTCAATTAACTCATGCTACATATCGATATGTTCTGAATTTATTTGTGGGTAAGGGCGCAATTGCCACATATTATTGACCACGTTATATTTTTTCTGTTAACGTATAACAATGAAAAAATATCCGAATAACATACTCATACGTAAAGATAAACAAAATTATATCGAAAAGTGGCATATCTTTAGAGGATGGAAGCGTGAGTGTAAGGTTTGTGACGAATGCAATCATCATTCACACCTGTATTGCAAAACATGTAAAAAAGTAGCGAATGGAATAT